AAGAACGAGCGGTTATGGAAGCTATAGACACATTAGAGGCAAGTAAGTCTTAGTAGGGATACAGCAATCCTTAATTATTGGGAATTATAAACGAGCTTGGTGGAAGGAATTAATCGAGATATCTTAGACTACTTACCCGTATTGCTTTTTGAAACCCAAAAAAGAAGCAAAATGATCCAGTGTCATTTATCCTGCGTTCTCCATGCTACCCCTATCTCGGCTGGCGGAGTTTCTCGGACGATTTGGCGGCTGTTCTACGAAATGTCAAGAGAATAACAGCTCAAATGATGAATGCAATCTCCTCTAGCCTAATTATCTAAACATGTTACTAATATTGTATTATGTTGACTCCCGAAGAGCTCCGGCACTCTAGATTCGGCATGGCTCGGAGCATTCGGGAGCCCTCGGACTAGGGGGCCGAGCCCTGGAAACACAATAGCATCAACCCAAATGCCATATTTTCGGTAAATATAAATAATATTGATGCTTCCCTGATATTCGCTGGTAATATTTATCGTCGCCATCAACATAAGTCCCTTCTAACTATTCTACTCAACTTCCAGCTTCCCACCTAAGATCAGATAAGGAAATGGCATCTTCCAACTTAACAACCGCTGCGAGCCAGCAAGCTCTTCCTCATTTGAGCTTTCGAGCTTACGTTCAGGCGCTCAAAGATGATTGGGACATAGTTGAGATCGACAGGGAATGTGATCCATATCTCGAAGTCGGAGCCATCACCCGGAAGGCACTCGAGGACCATGAGCGAGCCCCGCTATTCAACAAGCTCAAGGGCCAGAATGAGAACGGCCTCTGGCGTATTCCGGGAGCTGTTAATGGCCTCAGAGCACGGTCTGGCCAGACATATTGGCTTCGGCCCTACAGCATCCTCCAAGCAGATCATGGAAAAGATCATTGCAGCTAAGAGCGCCACCCCTATTCTCCCCAAGATCGTCGAGTCCGGTCCCTGCAAGGAGTTCCGCCTTACTCCCGACCAGTTTGATCTGCGGGCCCTGCCGTGCCCTCTGCTCCACCAGTCCGACGGTGGAAAGTTCGTCCAGACGTACGGCATGCAGTGCTTCCAGTCTCCGGATGGGAGCTGGACTAACTGGGCGATCGCACGTGCTAGTACGCTGATGTTAAAGATTCCCGTTCACGAAACATGGAGGGGTTACTGACTTTTACGGTTATAGTGGTGCATGACAGGAACCACCTGGTCGGAGCTGTGCTACCAGCTCAGCACATCGGCAAGATCCTCGCTATGTGGCGGGAGTTGGGAAAGGATATGCCCGTAGCGATCGCGTTCGGCGCCCCACCGACGGCCATGATGGCTGCAGGCATGCCCCTTCCAGACGGTGTTTCCGAGGCCGAATACGTCGGCTCGCTCGTTGGCGCACCGGTAGAAGTAGTCGAGTGTGAGACTAACGACATCCACGTTCCTGCCAACTCTGAAATCGTCTTTGAGGGAACTATTTCGACTACGGAGACAGCCCCTGAAGGCCCCTTTGGTGAGATGCATGGGTAGGTAAGTTGGGATATTTCTATCCCGCTTTTTCTGATATATTTGAAGAAATATCAAATAACTAACTGTTTGAAAGGTATCTTTTTCGCGGAGAGGTGCGGCAGTGGCCTAAGTATACTATAAACATGATTACGCATCGCAAAGATGCTATTATGCCTATTTCTAACCCGGGAAGACTGACCGACGAGACTGTACGTGGAGCCTCTACCACACAGGATGAAGTCCATACGCTAACAGAGCACCCAGCATACTATGATCGGCCCCCTTGCTGCAGCAGAGATCGGGTACCTTCTCAAGTCCCAAGGGCTGCCTATCGAGGAGGCATGGTGCCCATTCGAGTCGCAGGTAACATGGGTAGTCCTACAAGTCGACACAGAAAAGCTTCGCGCGCTAAAGACTACCTCCGCGGAGTTCTCGCGCAACATAGGCGACATTGTCTTCACGGCAAAATGTGGCTTCATGATCCACCGTCTGGTTCTCGTCGGCGACGATATTGACATCTACGATTTCAAAGACGTCTCGTGGGCTTTCTGCACGCGGTGCCGACCTGGTCTCGACGAGTATTTCTACGAGAGCGTCCTAGGCTACCCGTTGATCCCGTACATGGGCCATGGAAATGGGGACCCCTGGAAAGGCGGGAAGGTCGTTTCGGATGCTTTGTTGACGGCGGAATATACTACGGGCAAGACCTGGGATACGGCTAGTTTTAGAGACTCGTACCCAAAGGAACTCCAGGAGAAGGTATTAGCACAGTGGCAAGCTCTAGGGTATAATTGAGAGGGTACTCGCACATAGATCTCCTCCTTTCTTTTTGCCGTCTCTACCTTTTTTTTTTCTAGCCACGGATACAATCATTTACAAGCATATAATAGTAAGCTCGTTCAAAGCCCTCGAGTGGAATCATAAATAGTATACGTTTATTTCCTTATAGTTACTGTCACTCTTTTCATGAGTTTCCTTCTAACTATATATTTACTCATTTCCTCAACAAATGTTTCTACCGCCTCTTCGTTTGTGAATGGCTCCGACAGGATAAAGTCAGAAACCCCTAAAGACGGACCTCCTGAATCGAAGGACACCAACCATTCGGCCATATTCCATGACCTATACTAACGTTAGCTGGATCTTAAAGGGGAAAAGGTTGATCTTACTCGAGCTGGCTAACGAAGTCGTTTGATTCTGGCGGTAGTCTCGCTTCGTCAGTTTGTGAAGAATTGCGCCGTGTCCGAGTATTCATAACTCCTGCAGGCGGGGTTTGTAATGATATATCCTGCTCCGATAATGCTTTTATCATTTGTAGAGCCTCCAACGCCTTGTTTATTATAACTGACAATAGATCAACTTCTCCTCAGCCAATATTCAGACTATAGTCATTCCTTTCTTGCCGCAGACTAGAAATTAGTTTTTCTTGTAGCAATTTGGTCTCCTCACTATGTCTAGTTTCCTCTATTAGGCTCAGAAGAAGAACCGACGTTAATCCGTTGTGAATGAATGCCCACGACCTTCTCGCGAGAGGACTTATGGTCCGTATGCTTATGTAGGCCCAGCCACTGCGCCCCAGAGAGTTTTGCAGACGCTCTAGCACAGACCGGCTTTCGTCATCTTTAATCCTAAGACTTGTTTTACCTGAGAGATATGAGCGGCAGATAGCTGAAATAACAAAGTTCTTATGTATGGTGAAGGCATAGCACTCTTCAACATCCTGTGCAGAGCTACAGAAATGCCGATCTTTGAGATGGGGAGAAACAAATTCATCAATACGATCAATCTTGCTGAGGGTAAGCAATGAGCTAGATGATCTCGTTATTTTCCGTGGGTCTAGGTGCTGTGCCCTAATGTGACAAAGCTAGCTCATGGCTTGTCGATATGTCAAGCCTTTACTACCGTTGATGGACGTAAGAGTAGGTAGATCATCTTCGAAACTCATATCGCCGCATGAAGGGTGACGTCCAAAAGCCGTAGAGAGTAACGTCTCTTGTCGCACAATGGGAAGTCTAGTTAAGTCAATATATAAACACTTAAGCTAGAAAAGGTAGTTCAGACAAACCGCAAAAGCACCACATCCTCCTGGGATATAGGTAGGGACCTGGATATGGGTTGCCGTGTGTGAATAGAGAGGCTTTGTGCAAGCCGAATCGTTGTACCCACCAAAACCCACGCTGCTTGGGGTTTAATTCCGTCTTGAAGTATATTACCTAGCAGTAGGAGCGTTTGAATAGCTTCTTTAGAAGGCCGAGCAAGGTAATCGATCCTTCTTAGTAGCTCAAATGAGAGTTTTGCTAAGCAATGTTAATGGTTTGAATATCAAATATTACGCTTCTCTGTACTTACTGTGTTCTCGTGATAATAAAGCCCGCCGTTCTAAGGACAGCTCGGAGAATTGCGCCCCAGATGCTAATATGGCATGTAGTAAGCAAAGCCATCGAGGAATTCTATCTACCTCTAATCCGGCCTCAGCCCCTGGATTGTGCCTGAACTCGATGATAGCGCATAGTCTTTTCTCCATCTGGTCGAGGTCAATAGGAATTGTGTTGAAGGGGTGGACATAGTGCTTATAAGATTGGAATAGGGCGTAGACGTCCTGTTTAACGGATAGAAAGTCGTTAAGAATATTGCCAGGAGTTGATATAGGCCGATCAGTGTTCATATCCTCATTCACGCCGAGGAGAGGCAGGACGCCCGTTTCAAATGCCGAGCGATCAGCGAGACGATCAATAAGATATGAAGAGGATTCTCGAGGTACCGTCGCAAGAGAGGTTGTCTGCGGGAAATTTGAATCAACTAGTCTTTCGTTACTGGTCATCTCAAGATCATGGTTATCTGGATTTGTGGCAAGTCACACTGATGGTGAGCGTTCTCTTGCAGTCTCGTGGGCCAGAGCCGGTTGCATCGACGCCAGACCATTTTCCGTGTTATGGCGCTGTGACCGGGTATCGCGGCAGGCGCACAAATCCGGATAACCCTGTCTATTGCACGTTGCACATGGATATCTTCTATCACATCTGACTTTCCTTTCTCGACATGGTTCGCAGCTTTTGCGATTCCTAGCCTCCTGACGACTACGAAGAACATCTCGCAGACTTCTGCGAAGAGCGATCAACATGTCCGGCATGTCCATCAGTGTCTGATTCGTTATCATGCCGCACTTGGCAATAAATATATTTATCTTATACACGCAATCCAAACCCGGAAGTGGAATTGTAGGAAATATAATTACGGACTATACATTAGAACGAAGTCACCTTATGCAAGAGCTGCCGAATCACCCCTAAACCCGTGCTATGTCCTTACGAGCATTACTATATCGTTCGTGTTCCCCGTTCATTTTCCAATATTTCGGATCAGAAACCAGAAGCTCATACCGCCTATGTCCGAGCGTTTATCGTTATATCTCATGCCCTCGTTGAATGCAAAGTAAGATAGAAAAAAAAAAAGGATTACAAAAATTATAGAAGACAAAGATATACAAAAAGTAATTGGACGAGCTCAGCAGGGATCGAACCTGCAATCTTCAGAGAACAGGAAATATGACCGAAATCTGACGCCTTACCATTAGGCCATGAACCCGAATGGGTTAAACAATTCTTTGTGATGCATTATATTTTTTCTTCTTATGGTGTGGAACAGTGGGCACAATGTGGGGATAATGACCCATCGGTCTCAATAACGAATACTAATTCTTAGAGCCTCTACTACTTGATCAGCCATAAAACAAATTCTAGCTATTCACGAAAATTATTCAAACTTTTTCGAAAGTGCCACTTATGGCATTAGTAAACTTATATAATGTAATAATTTAGGCATGTTCCAAATTACGCACCAGAAGATATATCACGTCGAGATATATCATTGATGGAGAACTTGCATTATGCATAATTGCAAATAGGTAATTACCTAGGAGATATAAGATCATATTCTCTTCTATATCCATCTTTGAGACGTCGACTGCAGCGTAGCCCTAACTTCCAATGAATAGGTTAGGTTACCTAGGTAGGTCGATAGGAATTTGAGTAAAATCAGAATTAATGGATTTAGCTACCCAACTGACCCTGCTTCTTCGGTATCCTCCTCATGTATCTAATAACATATCTCCCCCATCTCCTACTCCCCCTTTCCCCCATCACGGGTTCATCCTCTGTTGGTCTCCTTGGAGCATACTTGTCTAGATCTATATCTAACTCCCTCGTAACTTGGAACCCAAATTTCTTGTATGCCTCATACGCCTGATGCGACGAATGCACCCATAGAGAGAGCCCCAGATTATCAGCGATAGAGTTGCCGTATCGTAACAGGGCGCCTCCTACCCCCCGAGATTGGTATGAGGGTGACACGACAAGCCCGGCGACGAAAATGCAGGGCGTATCTGAGGGGACGAGGTTGGACAACCAATATTGCATATCGGCGTCTTCAAGGGCGTTGAGACGTTCAATACAGTTTTCTTTCCTTTCCTCCGTACCTTTTTGCCCATCTTCAGTTTTTAACCCGTAATTTTTCCTTTGAAGTTGCTCGCGATCTCCCACTAATGGTATTGTGTCCTTGGGCCCAGTCCACGGAACCAAAGCCGGGTCACAGCCCCTGAATGCCCATCCGGCATGCCCAACAATCTCACCAGTTTCGTCGTCCACGGCTTTGACGTAAATGTACGTTTTCTTGTGAAGGGTATCCAGAAACCCGGTATATGATATGTCGTACATATCGAAAGGCTTCTGGTCTAACTGTTTTACAACGGTGTGCGGGTCGATGGAGAAAGCCGATGAGGTAATGCGGGCGCATGCGGAGATATCCGCGTAGTTAAGAGGTTGGATGGAGACCGAGAGAGGCTTACCGGAAGGCATGATGGTTGGTAGGACTGTCATGGATGCTAAGGTGAGAATATTGAAGAATTGCCTACTCTTTAGCATCCTAAGTAAGCAAATAACTCCCTAGTCTTGTAGATGCGCGCGTCGGTTCGAAGCATTTCCCCGCTTCCATCCTTGCGGCGTGGCCCGGTGCCATCACCCGAAGCTAGTTTGTATAAGTCGCTTAGAAGCTGAGTGGAAGCTAGAGATATCTTCAAATCTACTTCTCAAGTACAGCTAATATTAAGTCATAAAATAACCATTATACATATCAAATGCAGCTTGGATCAGATTCTCAACTTGACTTGATCTCTATAGATACGGTTTTTCTTCAGTCAATATAACTTTGGGAAGTTTAGTATCATCATATAACATGAAAAACATGTAGATTTTTGTAGTTCTTCTCTAATCGCCGTCGAAACTCTTCAGGAGAAAGTGATGTTGTCTGCTCGCACAACACATCACTGCGAATGATGGAAAGGAGCAAGAAGTGAGTCTCTTATATTTCGGCTCAGCGTTAAAATGTGGGATCATATAGACTCATTGAGGTTGAAGACATGTAGGTTCTTACTTTAAATCCGCCAATAGAGGCATTACTCGCGTATATAACTTAACGTACGGCTTATTCACGCACCCGACTGAAATAAGATCTTGAATGTAAAAAGCAAACCCGAAAGAATAAAGCTTACTAGTTCAGGTAGCTACAATATGGTGGTACTCAGTATGGCTTGGATACACCCGAGTAGCTAGAAAAGAGGAGGTATTTATGAAAACAGGCAAAAAGATGCGGTATAAGAGGAATCTAACCTCTTCACATTGGACTCGCGGGGAATCGAACCCCGGACCACTCCCATGCTAAGGGAGTATTATACCACTAAACCACAAGCCCCAGACAGTTTCCGAACCGAAACCACTTCAGATACGATTCGTGAATGTAATTTTTTGGTATCCCAAGTATTATACTTACCGTGTTGGTTGAAGAGGTAGCGTGCCCTAATCGACCGAGTGGAGCTTGTTTAGCGCCCTTTCTGGAATAATCCCATTTCTCTTGAGTCAGGTTAATTAGGCTACCTAAGTACCTAAGGTAGGTCGTATTAAATCAGCAAGACTTTACTGTTGGCATGTACTGTTGGCAAAGAACAGCGCTATAGGCTAAGGTCTTAGGTTAGAACTTGATCTGTTTAAGACTAGATATAATCATAATCGCTTACCTAATACAATGCAACTATTTATCCTCGTAGACTCTTAGTATATTCCCAAGTAGACGGAAGAGAAGTAATGTAAGAATAAAGAATAAAACTCCCATTAACTTAACTCTTCACCTGTAATGGCAGATAATGATTACCTACCTATGTAACAAGTAATGACAACTCATGTTGACAGAATGAGATAACGTTAACTAGCAAACGTCTAAGTAGAATGCAGGTTTACAAGGCACTTTGACATTTTGACATTTTGCAAGTGTTCGAAATCAATAACCGTAAAGCTTAAAAATTGGGGTACATGCTGGAATGACATGTTCAGTATTGGTGGGGAACCGAACATATTCGGAGGCGTCAACGAAAAGCGTCTTTGAGGCTGGGTACGTCATGTTACCTGTACACCGGTTCAGAATTTAGGGGCCAATAGTATTATTACCGGAGATGCCGGACCGGCAAATTCGGATTGGGCTTGTCGGGTGAAGCATAATCGGAATGAATACTACCGGAAGGGCGTTTAAACTACCGCGGCTTTCTGGGTCCAACATCTTGCGACTCGGTCTGAATCTCGACCCCGCTGTCGAGGCAAGAATGCACAAAAGGGAAGGATGGCGCTGGTGGTAAGTGGAGATATGTCAAGATGAGATGAGAGATTAGATCTCGATCCTGACGTTTTAGTTCGATTCAAAGTAAGATCATCACACTAGAATTTTCCTCTTAAGTGAATGATGGCTGTTTTGGGTAGTATGGAAGTCACACGTCTTTTTTTTTTTTTTTTTTTTTTTCTCTTCTAAAGCCGTCGAACGAAATGAGCTAGTCGTATTTGCGTCACATCGTGAAAAGTTCAGTCGGTGGCGCCTTGGGGGAGGTAAGAGATACCCCATTAGGAAAATTACTACTACATGTAATCGCGTAGTTTGGACCGCTAATTTGCGAAGTATGGTGCATCTATGTATTTGTATATTCAATCCGAAGCCACTCGGAATATAATGGCCCTGGTAAAATAATGATAACAATAATAATAATAATAATGAAATGTCATAGTAGCAATTTGAAATCATCGGTTAATAAGTGGCGCACCGGAACAAAAACGTAAGTGGATATGAGTTTAAGTGCAGAATAGCGCACGGTAGTAAGGATTTGAATTTTTTATGGCCGTACCTCGTTCGAGGTTTACTACGAATACATGTGTACTACATCTTAGAGCCATGCATACCTATGTAGGAGATATGTAGTTATGGTTATGTAACTAGAAGGTTTAGGAGTTTAGGTTTAAAAATAACTCCCGAAAGAAAAGCAACGGGTTAAAGACGGATCGGCGTTTTGGCCGTACCTATTTGCGATACAGAAAATCAGAGTTAAGGAGCTATCTTTAAATCCAGCCGGGGATAATCCGTCGGTCGCAAGTTCCAATGAGGCAATGCCAAGACAATGTGGTGGCTTTCCTATTTAGGAATGGTGGCAGCGGAGTTTCCAGGTGCATTTCCTCCCTTGTTTCCGATAACCGTCTGCAGTCTGCAGTCTGCACCGGGGAAACTCCAAGGAAGGTTTCATTAGTTCAGCATTCAGAGCCGTTTGAAGGTATTTGCTAGTTACAACCTAGTAGCTTTTTTTTTTCCTCCTTCTTTTTTTTTTTTTCTTTTCCCGCCGTACTACCGGACTTCTTCTCAATCAGGTATTCTCTTAAGTCCTCGTCTGAGCAGCCCGCCCGCGCGGACGGGGGAGCATTCCCTTTTGCACTGTTTTGATTTTCCTTGAGGGCCGTTAGCTGGGACTTTATTTCCGACCGGTCTCAATCCGATATTCCATCTATTGACTGGTCGTGAAATCTTACCCGGGCACGATGGACTCTCGGCCCGGCAGCTATCAGACAAGTGTCTTTCGAGCGCAGCCGACCGAGGGGGTCCAACGCAAGATCCAAAAGCGCAATCGTCCTCCTGTATCTTGTCTACTATGTCGAACGCGCAAGTGAGTGGCGTTTCCCTGCCCCCCCCATATATTATTATAGCTCATCATCTTTTTGATAGGGTAAAATGTGACCGCCAACAACCCTGTGAGAGGTGTGTCAAAAGTGGCGAGGCCAACTTTTGCGAATATGCGCCTCGCGCTTCTCGCAAGGCTCGCACGGATTCGCGGCCGCAGGTAGATGTCCGGCCTAGACATGAGCCTATGTCTCGTCCCGTCCTCCAGGTCCGTCTCCAAAAGCTTGAGGAGATGGTTAATAACTTGGTCTATACTGCGCGCACCCGAGAGCCCGCTCTTGATACCCCCTCAAGCTCGGACCAGCGAACGGAGACTGAGACTCGCTCTGACCTAAGCTCACCACCGAGCTTGGCCGCGTCCGCATCGGGGGCTCCGATTCTTTCTACTACGCTTGGCGAGCAGGGTTATGTAGGGGCTACTCACTGGGCTTCAATTCTTGAGAGTATTCGCGATATTCAAGGCATTCTTCGAACTGAGACAGATGAACCTCCTACCCCTTCACCCCCACCACAGAGAGACACCGCGAACGGTGTGGACGGTGCGGACC